AGAAAATGACGATTTACCTCTATGGCGAGGTCCAGCCGCAAAGGAAAAGCCGCCATTTTTTAATGCGCACGCGCTAATCACGCGCATTGCGCAGCAAGGATGCGCAATGCAATACTGGGAAATGACCTTAAGGTTATTTATCCTATGTTTGAAGACAGTTTTTCTTTGGTGATCAGTTCCTATTTTCGTATCACCCGCGTAGTTGATTTTGCATTAATATTTTAAGCAGAAATTTGATCTTTTAATGATGTCACCGTCGAGGTTACAGTGTTCATGTACCAACCTGGATAGAGGTAAAGTCGCCTGATGCGCATGCTCCCAAAATCGCTGAGCCCACGAGCACTGACTCACTCTCGCGCGGTAAAACACAAGGAAATCCTAGGAAAGAAAATATGATTTTGTTTTTGTTATCACCGCGACATATTTAAAGATTTTGGAAATCGATGCAAAAAAGGAAGCAAGCCATTGCAGATGTTCTGAACTCCAAACTGAAGTATGCGGCTTTGCTTAAAGAATAAACCCGACGAACAAAAGACCCACCTAAAGTGAAGCCCTTTTCAGAAGAAAAGCATTGTAGAAGTACGGCACAAACCTGTCACATCAGCATGAGTTTGAATAAACAATTCGTTCTTGGTAAGTCCGCCACAAAGAGACAGAGTATCGATGAAATGTCCAGCTTTGTTCATGCTTTCTATAATGTGACGAGTTCCGTGCTGCAAATGAAAGAAAAGTAGCAGAGTCCTTCATTTTAATCAATATTTCGAGAAGCTCTGAAACGTGTACCTATACTACATGAAACCCAGCAGAAACGGTCAACCTCGTTCCCAGGGTTCTCGAGATAGAGAGAGGACACTGGGAACGAGATTGGTAGTGTTTTCACATGACGTCACTGCAACCATAATTTTATTAGTGTCCCAAAACAATGAAACGGCGGCCATGTTGGTCTGCCAAACCCATCCTGTGGGAGTTGAACTCTTTTCTTGCGCAATCGCTTTGGTTTGTTCTAATAATTTTGCATGGCTACTGACCACGTGAGTGAAGACGCTCAAAGAACAATAACCAGCTATCAGGGAGTAGAGATGGCTAGAAGGGAACGATATATATTGTACATGAAAACATTTTCATTTTAGTTCAAAGCAACTTCGTCGCGATATTTAAGTCCTTTTCTGATGTACACAAATTTTAAATTGAAGAAAACATCAAAGTTACTTAACGGTTGGTTAGAAAAATACCCAAACATTTAATAAAAAGAACATAAACAAACATGGTTACGACTTTGGAAGATTAAGACGGAACTATCCAATTGCTCTTAAGTATAACAAAATCCTCGAATCTGAGTGACTCTTCAAACATCTTTGGCCAAACAAATGCCATGTAATAAACTACTTATTAACTCGAACGTTTGGTCTTTACGGGAAAATCTCAAACTTCGGTCCTGTTTTATTGAAGGAGCGATTTTGGGATTTTCCAGTAAAGACCTCGCTCTCGGTTAATAAGTTGTTGTTATTGAGATATTGAGCAAATTCACCAGTCGTAACAAGACTCTGTTAATATCTAATGTTAATACTTACTGCTAGAGCCTGAAGCGTGGCTAGATATAGAACTGCCAGGCCATCAAGATCAACTGTAAGAGTTAATCCACAAATCTGTAAGGAAGTACGTGCGACTTGGTTAGACCTGTTACAGGTGTATAAAAGTCTCACTCTACCTGTGCAACGAACAGTTCCGGCATTTCTGCAATAATTGTTCAACAGGAAAAAAAGGCTTCAGTTTCCTACGTATTGAATCGAATTCAAAACAAAAACACGTATTTGGCGACTTTTCGACACCTAGGAGTTGTAAACAGTTTAATAAAGTTGATTGTTTGATTGACTGACGATTGATGATTGATTGATTGATTGATGGATGGATGAATGAATAATTGATTAATTAGTTGATGCATTGACTGAAGAATGATTGATTCACTCACAGACTAATTAACTGACTGGCTAACTGACTGTCTGACTGGCTGACTGACGGACTGGCGGACTGAGGGACTGAGGGACTGACGTACTGAGGGACTGAGGAACTGACGGACTGACTGACTAATTGACTAGCTGACTGACTGATTGACTGACTGACTGACTGACTGACTGACTGACTGACTGACTGGCTGATTGATTGATGAATTAATAGATTAACACAAAAATGAAAATACAAAACTAGGATTTCGTAACCTTACCATTCCTGTCATATTTGGGTCAGCCACCGGTGACCTGTTGCCATGGAAATCCGGAAGCACGTGAAAGTCTCGTGAAAGCAATGCTAGGTTACCAAGCTGTCGTTTCTTAGCCAGGGCAGTCAAATGCTGGTTAAGTTCCTCATACACGGAACAGCCACTGCAAGATTTCAAAGCTAACACGTGAATAATTGGACATGTCGACATTTCCCGCCAGGGGACATGAAAAATATGTTCGTTCTAACGGGCATTCACCAAAACGAAACACCGTTATAAAGATTTTGTGGGAAAACTACAAAAATCTTTGTTATATCGGGATTTAGTTATAGTAGCCTGTGAACAGACTCTCGGCGAAGACAAAAAAAAAAAGACTCAGCCAGCCAGCGAAGCGAGGCGACGAACGCGAACAATTTTAGGCGAGCAATTTCGTCTCCAGACCGTTCTTGGCTAGCCCCGCTCGTTTCTTCTTTTTCGTGCTATAAGCCAGTATGAAGCACGTTCACAGGCAGCTCTGGCAGCATAGAAATGAACTCTCGAAAGAAAGCGTACAAGATTTTTGCCAGGCTGAAGAATATCCTTCGTTACATCAGGGACTTCCTTAAATTGGGTTCTAGTTTTGTGTTGTTATCTACCTTCACCTTAATAGGCATTCATTCATTTAAAACTCGATAATTTGGTTTTGAGAATCGTCCTATGTCATTTCTCAGCATTATCCTGTGTACAATTATTTGTCAACCATGTTCAATTGTTGGTTCAGTCAGCATGCGCTGAAAATCACTTCTGAATCAGTTTGCTCGCTTCACACTCTTGTTTTGTGAGGACTTTTGTATAGCTTTTTCTCATTTCAAATCGGATAGTTGAAAATACTACATAATTCCTCCGCAGCGCACTTTTAGTGCCAACATTCGTACATTTTCTCCCCCAAAAATATGAAGAAACACAGTATTGTAACAAACCTGCTTCCGTCAGGAGACTAATAGAATTACAGGTTCTAGTTCTGCAGGAAATGTCAGATGCGACGACAACAACGACAACAGTAAGAAAACACAAACCTCCTTTCAGCTTTTTCTTTTACTTCCTTATACGCCATGTGAGTCTCTATCATGTGGTCTATCTAAGACAACAATGCACGCTATTAGTACGAGGAATAACTTTGAATTCTTATTCCAGAGAGGAGCCTATCCGAATTGAAACTCGATGACGTGCACTTTTGGATGCGTTTCGCCCATCATCCAAACTACAACTGTTTTTCAATTGAGTTTACCGTTAAGCCAAACCCCAAAAAACTCTCTCGTCAATCACAAAGGATACAGACAGTACAGTGAACTAATCGCAACTCGAAACTGATACATGTAGACAGCAGGAAGCGACGTGAAAAATATGAACGAGCTTTTGGTCGTCCCACGATGGTTTTCTATTGCCCTCATCCCTAGAAAGCGGCCACCCAAAATTTAATAGTTATACACGTAGTTTGGCTTTGTTTTGGGAAAAAAGATGTCAGATAAGAGTCTGAAATAGAAAGGGACCACTGATAAAAACATTCAAACACACGTTTATTATAATTGTCTTCACGTGATTGCATGGTCAGTTGTCTTAAGGCGTATTTGTATTGTAATAAATTGACGTTTCTACTAATTCATTCATACTAATTCTTGACAAAGCCCTAACAAGCAGCCACCTCGTATTTCCCCGAGGGTGGTCGCTTAAAAGGGGTTTAACTGTAGCTGCAAATTGGACAAATTGAGAAATATTATTAAGCTCTCACCAGTTTTCCAGTAACGCTTTGGCCTCCCTCATTCAACCACAAGCCTGGAACCATCGCAGAGAAGTATGGGCCCCACACTCCGGGAACAAACACCGGATTTTCATTTATCTAAAGCCAAGAAGAGTGTAGCAATAAAATCCACATTCGCTGAACTTACCCAGGTCATAGTGTTGTGTTCTTACTCAAATGGCTGCAAATGAGTACTTGTATATTATGGGGAAAATGTGAGGAAACGAGAAAAACTGTTTACAATATTTCCCTCATTAACATAAGCGATTCAGTTTCTTTTTCTAAAGGATACTGACAGGTCGTAGCACAATTAATTGCCCAACGAATTTTATTTTTTGGGCAGGGGGAGGGGGGAGCATATGTCATGCAACCCAAAATCAGAGGGAAGCACTAATAAAAACTCTGTTAAACTGGGACTCTGGGTTATTAGGATGTTGCTCAGTTTTGAGAATGTTGGGAAGACTTATAAAGGATTCATAAAGAGAAGCTAAAAGCACCTATCAGTATTGTTAAAACATGCTGAACTATGAAAAAGGGTGAAGCAAATCTCTAGAGGATCTCTTCGAAGGCATTGTGGCCTCATGGTTAGTGCACTCATCTCTGGATCGAACGGTCTGGGTTTGAGTCCTGGCCAGGGCCATTGTGTTTTGTTCTTGGGCAAGACACTTTACTCTGATAGTGCCTCTCTCCACCCAGGTGTATAAATGGGTAATGGCAAATTTAATGTTGGGGGTAACCCTACTATGGACTAGCGTCCCATCCATAGGGGAGTAGAGATACTCCTGGTAGCTTCATGCTACAGAAAACCGGAATAAGCTCAGCCTGATGGGCCACTTGGCTTGTATGCAGACAACCTTTTTTTACCAAATCCCTAGAGCTTAGATGCTGTGAGCAGGTTCATGTTTGTTGCTCTAGCTCCCACCAACTTATCTACTGCTGCCAACTTGTTCACTCACATGCATGACCCAATCGCCCCAAATGTGAGCCTGCTCACAGACCATAACAAAACTTACAGCCATATGGCAGGATGATGTCCCACAAATAACAGCTAAGCGTGAAGTTAAGGGTTTGTTTTCATTGAGAACCAAACTCAGATCTGCTCCAATTACACCTGTGTGACGACAAAAGCACAGACAACTGTTAACAAGACTAATTATTAGTTAATAAGGAGAGTTTCTTTACTTATTAATAACCTGCCAGCAGTACTTAACAGCTCAGTCTCCACCGATGGTGGAAGAATTAACTAAAGATATATAATGAATAAAAAACTGCACTGGAAAGAAAATGGGTGTTGTGTTACCCCCTACCTCCCCATAATGGCCACCTCTCTACAACAGCCACTTTCCTCTGTCCCCAAGGTGGCTGTTGGGGAGAGTTATGTCTCTAAGGGTATTCCTATGGTCATGGAATACTACGGGTCAATATTACCTAGGACATGCAGCCACAATGCACAGCAAAGTTAAAAACCCTCTCATCCAATGAAGGTCACTTTAGTTGTCAATGAGTTACTTATTCAGTCAATGATAAGCAATCTTACCCAGTCCCCCAGCATGTGCATCAATGAGTGCAGTGCCAACTGGCATCCCTTCCCATAATCCTAAGTCAGCAGCAGCTGTTTTGGTCAATCCGTTGCTGATTGACTCTCCAGGACTGGCCACTTTTGTACCTGACAAAGCATGGAAACAATAAATCAATTCCACCATGAACATTCTTTAATATGTCCCAAGTTCACAACCTGCCTAATGTATATACATAAATTAAAACAATCCAGTCTTACCCATCTTGGAATAGTTGGTATTTATAAGATCGTCAAGGCCAATGGCTTCTAAGAAAGAGTCCACCCAACCATTCCTAGAACCTGATGAGCACATATGTACAGAATGTAAACTAGAGAATTTATTTTCAATTCAGTGACTAAAAACCAAAACCAAAGTAATCACTCTCAGGCCTTTGGAACCACAAATAACGCAGACAATACAGTGAGCCAATCAAAACTTGAAGTGATTTTGTGTAGCTGACGCAACATGCAGGAAAACAAGTCCAGGTGAGATGCGTGTTTTGGTTTTACTTCTTATTGGATGAAAAAGTGGCATGTGTTATTTAAGCCAATCGTGTAGCAATACTTGATGCAAAACCAATATTACTTTTTGGCACTCAAATGAAAACCGCTCTATCAGGAGAAATTCACCAAATAATAGAGATGACAACTAAGGTGGCTTACCTTCTGGAATTTGAGACTCATGACCCATATAATTGAATTTGCAAACAAGAGAGCACATAGACCTTAGAGAAATGAAACAAGGCACTTAGAGTCACACAGGGCATCTCTCCAACCAGCAGTATAAGAGCTAAGATTGTTTATTACTAAATAAGCAAAATTGTTGTCAAGACAAGACAAAAATGCCATTAGAAGCACTAAAGATGCAGTGGATTAACATCTATCAAACCAGGAATTAGGAATTGTCCTAGTTGTTTGAGACTTGTTTAATACTGAACCAGATCAAGTTACAAAAACTTATTGTGTTGTAAGCCAAAAATCTTGTATAATAGAAGAGCACTCAGACAAGTAATTTAGACAGTTCCATCCAAAACATGTTAAAATAGGTGATATGACTACTGATATGCCCCAATCCAAGTTGGAAATAATTAAATTCCAAAAATTCCTATGCCTGCCAAATTGGACTTGGCCTGTGGCCTCCACCAATTTTAACAGTTGGAACAGAAATTTTCAGCCAATTATCTCCAAACTGGAAGCATGCACAAATATAAGAGCCTACTAATCTCCGCCATTTGAATCACGTGTACTAAAGGCATCCATAGCCACAAGTTGATCGATACTCTCAAACAACCCTTGATCAATACTTGAACGACACCTCAATAATATTGACACTCAATCGACACTCGATCAACATCTCAGTTGACACTAGGTCAAGAGTTGTCTAATTTTCGCAGACACACCATCGAGCATTGATCGATACACATGGGTTGGTCAACACTTGGCGGACTAATGACCAACTGTCAATCAAGTGTTGATCAAGTGTTGATTGAGGTGTTAATCGAGGGTCCAACGAGTATTGATCAATTGAGATGTCCATTGAGTGTTGATTGAGGTTTTGATCGAGTGTTGATTGAGGGTCAATAGAGGGTATCAATTGACACTTGGTCGCGGATAACTTAAGTACATGTGTTCCTGCCATTCTTTTAAACTTCTGCTCCTCCAGCTCTCACCTTGTTTGGTCACCTGTTGCTTTATAAGTAAGAAACTCGGGCAACTCCAGAAAAAGAGCACATTTTTCCCAGCAGTCACCAGGCAACTTCTCCTTCAACCAAAGTATCTTTGGAATCTCCATTTCTGGCGAGACCCCTCCACCAACATAAGACAACACCTTATGCTTTGTGTTATTAATTCTTTGGGCCTGGTCCAAAGCGCGATGGTCCAGCCACATGATAATGTTTCTATGGGCTTCTCTGGAGGGACTAACAGTGACAGCATGTCCTGTAGAGTCTAGAGCTACCAGGGAACAGGTCGCATCAAAACCAATACCCCTTATCTTATGGAGGGAGTCCTTGTGAGTGAGAACTTCAGAAACTTCCTGGAAATTTGTTGACATGTGAACAAATAATCTGTTAAAAAGAGTCTCTGCTCTTTACCCCAGATCTTGTGCCTGAACAGTAAATGATTTAAAATTTTTCATCACAAATTAGCAGGAAACCATAGGGTAGCTGTGAGGGTTTCTTTATTCGTTGAACATCCCCACTCTCCCCACCCCCTCCCTTCTACCCCTCCCCTACCAATGAAGGATCGCATAATTGATGTTTGAGAACGTACTTCTACATTATTTCCACAATCTAATTTCTTATTGCAATCATCCACAAATCGTTTGATACCTTGACAACTAAGCAGACATTACGCCACACATCTTCTGACGACTGTTCATAATAGTCCGGTAACTGTTGCCATATTTGTAATGGTCGAGTCGCGCACGACACGATTTTCCCATCACTAGCCACTAGAGCAGCGCGGACGCTCGCTGTTCCGACATCAACACCAATATAATAACATCCTGCCATTCTTGATGCGTATAGAGCTAAGAATTTGTAGCCGAGGGAACGCTTCCGTTCAAACTAATTCGACGAGCCTCGCGGGCCGCCATATTGGCCGAAAGGAAGTAAGGGTCTGGTGCAGAGGTTTGACGGTGGGGGCCTTAG